ATTTTCCTTTCTTCCTTGGCAAACTCACCAATATTCGAGAGTCTTACCTTAAACAAATAAGTAACAGGCCAGAAATCTAGACAATAACTACAATCTGAAAGGGCCAAACAGGATTTGGGATGAACAGTGCGAAAGTATAGCCTGCCAGAAGTTAAGTGAAGGTGTTGCTGTCAAAGCAAATAAACTAAGACCAGGAAGAATCTGATACCCTGTTTTATAAATGATGCTCTGTTGGAAAATATGACCGTGGAAGCAACACATCCTAGCATCACACTGTATTTCAATGAGGCAACCAAACATAAATCATTTTAATTAATGGTGCAAGGAAGGCATATTAAAATTTAAATTACTTTTGTTTTATTGTGCATTTGCCCCAAAATATCAGGATGTTCTGAAAGCAACTCAATAAAAGCACCAAGAGCCCTTCTCAACAATAAAAAACAAGTACAATGTAGGAGCATTATTACTACTTAGAAAGAACAGCACAGCTGTTGCTGGCTAAGAAAATTCTATAGTGTTCTGGTCAGATATGTCCTCGTCATGAAGCTCAACTTACTCAAAAGCAAATTGGTCATAAAAGGATGACTTTTAAGTTATTTTCTAAATAAATATTCACAAAATCCTTCTATAATATCCTAAATGCAAAGGAAAAATGAACTTACAATTGTCCTTGAGGGATGAGAACTTTGGCCAAAGACACTAGGGCAGCGTGAACATTTATCATTTCTAGCACAGTCAACTATTTACTTGCAGCTGTATAACACGCTCGTTGACAACAATCCAGAAAGCCTTTGTTTGCCACCTCATTAGCCTTACATCTGTAATTCTGTGGAGTGTTTGGTTATCCCAAATGATGCCACTCTATGGCTGTCATTTCTGTTATCCTGATTAGTCAAACAAATCTGCCACAGACTCAACATATCCTCTAAGCTAAACAGTAATGAAAACATTGATATTTTCTGATACCTCATTCATAATTCAATACAAAAGTTTTATTTTAACCCCTTACACACCCCCCCCCCTTAATCTGCAGCAAAAAGAAGAGTGGCCAATGTCTTTGCTAATGAAAAGCACTTGCTGTGGAGGAGGTGAGGATGCTCAGTGAGCACGATGCAGCCTTAGACAGATGGCAGGGGATGACTTCCTATCAGAAGAACTTCTCCCTTAATGGAGCAGTTCACAAACTCCACATAACCTATAACTGACTAATTAATGGTAGGGCCTGATTATTCAGCTTCTTGCAAGAATTCTTTCATTAAAAGTATTACTTTAAATAAAAGTCCTCCAAGTAATAATATTCTGATTTATATTTCTCCATGGAAAATCTGGCACACAGGAGTCACTATCTGTAAAATTTTAAAAATAACATCATTTCTCCCTCTTAAAAATACTCCTTAAAATTTTCTTTAAATGAGGCTAGAGAGATGGCTCAGCAGTTTAGGGCACTAACTGCTCTTACAGAGTACCTGGGTTTGATTCCCAGCCTACATGGTGGCTAACAACAGTCCGTAACTCAGTTCCAGGGGCTCCAACACCCTCTTCTGAACTCCACTGGCATTGCACAGCACGGGCGCACTCACATACATGCAGGCAATATACTCATACACATATAACAAAAATAATAAACAAAATTTTAAAAACAGTCATATTAATATCATGTTGAGTGTTTAGTCTGTGACAGATACTTGCCTTTTTTATCTTATGCCCTACTTTGGCATAAAATAAACTAAATGAACTAAGTGAACTAAATGCCCTTTCTCATAATAATTAAACTAAATGAGCATGTATGTTTCTTTATTAACCCATTAAGTAATGAGATTAAATAATAGATGCCATAACCTCATGACTTTGAAGTAGTGTTGCACATAAGATATGTTTCAGAAATACTTGAAACATAAATGTGCTATAGAAACTGTGTTTTCTATTGGTGACAAAGTCTTCAAAACTAATACTTTCATGGCAGTGAACTACAAAGAATGAAAGAAAATGGGAAGTTTAAATTAAAAGTAATACAAAGTTGTATTTTTTCACACAAGTTCACAATCCCTGGGTTAGAAGTACCCTGTGCGGTATATGTAGTGACAACTAGGCAAAAGCTAAACCAATTCCACTTCAGATTTTACTACAATTAAGAATTCTTATTACACACATTTACAAAGGTTTTGTTTCCTAATGCATATGCATTTATAAGTGACAACCTGTAAGCAATTCAAAGACCAGGAATCCTTGCTAACTACAAAGATTTTTTTTTTACAGAATATTACAAATTCACAAATTTTATTTTAAAGAATTTTACAAATTCTTTCCAGAACGATATGTCTCCACAATTACCAGAGCTTTTATTATGATGCACAACAAAGTATCCTATTTCAAAGTTGATTTCCAGAGACAGATACCACATTTCTCAATTTTAGGAATGGGAATTTATTAGTTCAAGAAGATGCACCAGGGGGCTGGAGTGATGGCTCAGTGGTCAAGAGCACTGGCTTCTCTTGCAGAGGACCCATGTTCCATTCCCAGCACCTGTATGGCAGCTAATAATTGTCTATAATTCCAGTTCCAGGGGATGAGACACCCTCTTCTGGTTTCTGCAGACACTGCACATGGGTGATGCACTTACAAACATGCAGACAAAATACCCATACTCATAAAAATAAATGTTTTTTTTTAAAAAAAGAATATCCCCCAGTAATAAGTATTTATTGGGCAACATATATATTAGTGGGCAGATTTATGGGAAGTAAAACATATAGTGCCTACTTTTGTGAAATTATTAATCTATGGGAGAAGATTTTAAATAAATAATGTAAACAATTGCTTAATGATATTCTAATTTTATTTATGTATCGCCTTTTCTGATCTATTTATTTTAGGTGTATGAGTGTTATGCCTACATGTATGCAAGTGCACCTTCTCCTTGCTTTGAACCTCATAAAGAAGGCATTTGCTATGATTCATTTCACTGAGGAAGGAATCTTAAATTCACACTCAAGACTAGCTGCTCCCAATCTGTGCTTCTAAGTATAAAATAGAGATAGCAGCCTCTGTTAAATAACTTCCAGAATTAATAAGCATTCATGATATTTCTGAGACTAGGGAGCCTTTCTGAAATCCTGTCACACAATTAAAGGGATTTCTCAATGCCTTGTATAAACATAATTTCATGATTTATAATCTGCAAGCGTTAGGTTAGAATGGACCATGTCTCACCAGCTGATGAATGAACCCCCTCTGTAATATCCAAAATGATGGGTACAACCCATATTTGAAAACATAGAACAATTTTCCAAAGAGGTCCATTTCAGTTTTTGCATGTTTCTTTAAGGAAACAACCATACACTTTGACACTTTCGAGCCCTGGAGTTAATAATAAATGAAATTACAAAGTAATGAAGGGAGGAAATCCGCCACCATAAAATTTAAATTAAAAATCCAAGGAGCACAAATCACATTAGGGCACCTTTTTGCTTTTTAATTTGAGACTCAAGAATGCCATCCACCCTAAAATAGCCATATCTAAGATAATCAAGATTACACCAGGAAGCTGTTTGCGCATAAATTGCTATGGTAGGAAACTGATTAGTTCAGCAAAGAGACAGGAAGCTTCTTGTCACTCCTGTTGTCTAAGTTAATGCTGTGCCTCCTCCATGGGCCAACTGCCCTGAGATAAAGGATTGTAAAGTTGCCTCATGAAAGCAGACTGCAGTACAGTCAGTAACAAATGCAGGAGAAATACAAAGTGTTGCCTGACAATTCCAGGGAGCTGAAAACAGCAAGGTTTTTTTTTTAACATCATGCTAAACACTCCTGGGATCTATAGAATATGGTGTTCTATAGAGTGTGCTTATAATAAAAAGAACACTCAAAATAAATAGAGGCATACATTGAAGGAAGATTTTCCTGGGATAATCTTTTCTGCAAAACTTGATAAAATGTATTATATAAAATGTACTAGACTATATTTCCCCAAGACAGCTATAACTTAATTCTCTAGTATTGTGAATAAAGTGCCTTACATGGAAGAAGGGATTTTTACAGATGTGATTAAGATTAAGAATCCTGAGATGGAAGGTGACCCTGGATTTTCCAAGTGGGTTCAATGTAGCCACATGGGTCCTAACAATTGGACAGCTTTTCCTAATTGGATTCAGTTAGAGGGAGCTGTAACTATAGATGAATGATCAAGGAGATAAAATACCAGGTTACTGGCTCTGAAGATGGAGAAGGGAGATTATTAGGCAAGGAATAGGGATGGCCTCTCTAAACTGGAGACAATAAGAAGCTGTTCTCTGCCTGAGAACTTCAGAATGACAGCATCCCACTGCCACCCCTGGGCCCAGTGAAGCCCACAGAAGAACTGTGATGAAACAGTCCTTAGACAATAAGCTATGGTGCTTTACAGCTCCAGCAGGTGACAAACTGTTGTGACAGCAATAGAGAACTAACACAACCCCATACTCTTTCACAGCCTATCTGCAAACACAGATGATGATATAAGCCGAAGCTGGTTGTATTTCACTAGAAGTGACTGTTTAACAGATACCCTAACTTCTGCATTCAGCTTATTTCTAAAATATTTTACAGGTGCAACTGAAGGTCTTGAAACGCTACATGTTTAAAGAAGAAATAAACGTTCAATAAGCACTCTAATAACAACAGACAATGAGCAGCTCTCAGTGACTCCAGCAGAAAGTTCCATTCATTTATTTGAATTTTCTTGAATTTGAGAGGAAATATCTTTCCTCTCAAACATGTCCCTGCTTTTCTCAACACTTCTTCCCATAAACCTGATTTTGAAGTTTTTATGAGATACATTTTATACTCGACATTGGCTTCATGCGTTCTAGAATTTGTTATAGTACGAAAATAACTGAAATTCAAGTTGCTGATTGAAACTTTGCTGTTACTGAACACATGATATTTATTCATACTTCATATTTACTTTATATTTTACTGGTAAAATAAATAAATATAAAAGCACAGTTGCACATTCTTCTTACCACTTTGCAGCAAAGAGGCCAAAACCACCAGAGCAAGCCAATTCCCAAGAGTAACAGCAACACCAAAATAGCGATGATGGCTCCAATCCCATTAGACTACGGTGGAGGGATGAAAACAAAAAGTCAGCAAAGTCCATGGTCAAATCTCACATGCTTATTTATTCTTTTAAAGGAACACACATGTGAAAATAAACACAATAAGCATAACAATGCCACACCAAGTTTTGGTTATATTCCTTTAAATTCTGGAAATCCCTGTCTGTTTGATTCAGCGTATATCTGGTTGTGTTAACACAGGTAATAATAAACACAAAAATTTTTGATGTGAAGACTGTTTTGAATATGTTCTAAAAGGATGTAAGAACCACTCTTTTTGAGGGTTAGACAAATAGTCATACTGAGTCTTTTGTTTCTCAGTAATAGTTATACCTGTCCAAGCACAATTACTTCCAGACAGACTCTTCCTAGACCTTAAGATGATACAATATACTTAAATGATAAGCCAAATATTAAAAAGTAGATGATAAAGCCACAATAGCTTTTGTTAGCAAATGGCTCTATGCATGTCTCAATGAAAACATGCAATCTCATGAATTCATACGTTCGATAATTTCTGATAATGGTTCAAGTACGACTCAGGCAAGAACTTCACTTGCTGGCTGCTTAGTGCCTCTAGTTTTACGGCATGTGCTCTGAGCTTTACCAGTAACCTCCTTTACTATACCAACCACTCATTCATCCTACAGGCCTCATGCTGTCACTTCTGGGAACTCTTCCAAGGACTCCCTGCCTAAAAAAATGCCCCTCTTAATATACAAAAAGAAACCTGTACAATGTATTTCCCTATATTTTAATTTTAACTCTTTTACAATAAAATTAATTATAACCTTTGTGATTAAACTTCACTTTTCTGTCATGATTCATTGTGTCTCCTATGAAATCAAAGGCTACGTACAATCAACTTACCACTTGATACTCCTTGCTTGACATTTAAAAACTGTGTACTGAGAAAGTGAACACCAAACACATAAGACTCCGAATGACACAGATGCCAAAAGAATGTAAACACTGTTACTTTATAAATAGAACTTCCACTGTAGAAATGGTGTTCCAGTAAACAGTATCTCATCCAAACTCCCACCTTTCTGGGATTCCCAGTAATACTGTTGTGTTTAGTTTATTTGGTTGTTTGGCAATTTTTGTTTGTCTTTGAAAGGAAAGAATGGGGGGGTGCAGAGGATAAAATACTTTATAGAAAATGTCAGGCAAATATCTAAGTACTGTTCTTAAAGCCAAAGGAAACAATTCACAGCACAGACCCAGAAAATACCCAAAGTGCATTGACCTTCTCCATAGAATTCTAAACACTCAGAAACAAATCACATTACTCTCCACAGACTGTGTTACAGTAAGAACAAACTCTAGGCAAACAGAAGTATAATGGGAAAAGAATATCATACATAGAAAACTGTAGCATTCTATGGGAGAGATGTCGACATTCTCAACCTCAACTTCAAGGTCTTACGGCGATAACTCCCCTCGCCCCTGTGGCTGACAGCGTAAGAATAAGGGACACATTCCCCATCTAGGCCCACCACTCATGGCAATGCTCACTGTGTGGCTATGCTTTACAGCTTCAAAAAAAGCCTATGAACATCTGGGTCCCCTTTTCCTTAGTATTTTCACCTTGTTTTCAAAAATAAGAATATGCGACTAGAGGGCATGAGTCTGCTAAAACATAATGTCTACTTTGTTCCTTCCATTAATACTAAATGAATAAGAGACTCAAAAAATTGTGCTGACGGTTGGAATGTAAAATTCTTGATCTTCCCTCTAAATAAAATGCCTCTATTAGTTAAGACTGACAAAACATAACACATCCTCCAATGGGTCTTATCACTGCTACCGATTCCAAAGGTCTCAAAATATTAAAAATTATATATATATATATATATATATATATATATATATATTCTGAAAACTGCAAATAGCATGAAAATGGAGTAAAGGGTGCAAAGCATGGATACAAGGAATGAGGTTGAATCAGACTCAGTGGCACACACCAAAAAAAAATATATATTCTGAAGGCCTGCACCTCTGCTCTTTACTTATTTAAGTGAAGTATGATGGAAAACAGAGCATGACATGAAGCAGTCGTGTTTAAAGCTGCCTGACGTAGCTCTGTATATACAGCCCCTGGTTTCACCCATGCCAGACAGTAGTTCAGTTAACTGTATCCAAATTCTGGCTTTCCCATTTCCTTTGTTTTAATTTCCAGAGTCATTATCAGAGCATAGAATAGCCAGTCTTAAAGGGAAATAATTCTACCGTTCCCATGACTTCATAAACAAATTAAGGAAAAGCCAAGCATATAAACTGAATGAAGGCTTGTGAGCAGATGCCAAGCTGCAAAACCCAGATGTAGAAGCTGAAAATGAACATGAAACTCAGCAAAGTGATACTCAGATCTGTGTCATGGGCAGAAACCAAAAACTTCTCACTTTTACTCAGAAATGCTTCTTTGTTTTCATTTTTAAAATATTTTATTATTTTTTTAAATTTTAAAACAGGTTTGTTTATTCAGCAACAGTGGTACATTTAGAATTATAGCAAAAAAAAAGAATTATAGCAAACAGTGAAAAGAAGCAAGTTTCTTAGTATTTTCAAATTCTGGCATGTTCCTGGGAAAATGAACAGCAGACCCCAATCTTATCCAAAGTAATATTGACCACTGATTCTTGCTAGATGAGGAATAGCTGAACCTCCTAAAACAAAGACCTCTAGATAAGCTGACTAGATTCACCAGAAGG